GATAAAGCTCTTTTTGAGATGTGTAAATGGACATGAATGCAACAGATCGAGGATAACAAACAGTTCCAACTAGAAGTGCTGCTCACCTCTGATAGTCCTCAAAAATGTGTCCCTAACGTTGACTGACTCAGAAAATAATAAAACCCAGGCCTTTGGGACACAATCAACCAGTTTAAATTCTCTTGCTCATCTAGTTACAGATAACAGTATAGCCTTACATTTCCTGTTGTTAACTAGAGACAGTCCATGCCATTGATACAGTAACGCTTCATTTTGAATCTGGATTAATAGCACAGATGAGGTAGAGAAATTCCCATCTGAGCAAAAGAAAAGCCAAATTGACGATAATGGAAGGTGTAGGGCATTTGTTGGGACTTGTTTTCATGTCCAGTCCTGAAAAAGCCAGGTCATTCCACTAGACTGCCCTCCAATGCCTTCTCGTAATACTGTGTTACCGTAGCTCACAGCACAGTCTGGTGCCATTCCACAGTCTAAAATCTACACAGCCCATGGTCCTAATAGATGTTTCAACAAATGATTTAAAGACAAAAACAGACAAAACCAGAATAAGGGTATTCCTTTCTACATGCAGACTGCAAATCACACCCACAAAAACTCTCCTTCAGAAGAACCAGCAACAGTGGTAAACATCTGGAAAATCCCTGGTGGTCTCCCCTGCTGCCCTGGCTGACAGAAGACCAAAAGGGGAGAGCAGGAATATATGAAAGTCCACACTCCTAGGAAAAATGAGTTGTTCTTCAGCTGTGTATCTAGTCAACATCAGAACTGGTTTTTGACAAGGTTAATCAATCAATAAAAACTTGCTTCAGTGAACATGCCTCTGGGACCCATCAGCGCAAGAAAGATAGCTCATTCTCTGAGAGGCAGCTTGTCAGGGACTGACTCACGACAATGAACCACTTCTCGGGCTGCCGCCTCAGAAATGAACATAAACCACACTCCTAAGTGACAGTAATCTTCTCCCACCTCTGTAACCAACAGTAATCCACCATAAAGTCTTGCCACAATTCTATACAAATCATCAGTTTGCTTTGTTTAATGAGAGTTATCTTTGATCAACTAATTATTCCTGCACTAAGTAAGATGAAACTCCTTTCAATCATATAAAATGTTTTAATGGACTAAAAAACAAAATAATATTCTCTTTACCAAGATATTCTCAGTTTCCCTTTGGCAGAATTTCCCTTCTGTCTGAACAACTTCTTTAGCAGTTTTGTCAAAGCAGATCCACTCCTATACATTCTCTTAGTTTTCCTCCACTCTTGAATGCATTTATTTCATCTCTATTCTTTTTTTTTTTTTTTGGTACCGGAGATCGAACTCGGGTCCTTGCGCTTGCTCAGCAGGCGGCAAAACTACTGAGCTAAATCCCCGGCCCCCTCATCTCTATTCTTGCAGGATACTTTCATGGGATACAGAATCCTAGGCTGACTGTTCTCTTCTTTTTTGCGGAGAGGATGTCAATATTTTCACTCCATAGCCAAAAGTCTTATTTCACTTAGATTTTTGCCAGCTAAATTCTTACTGGCAGGGCAGATCTTAGAAACTTAAAAAATGCTTTATCCACATTTTCAGTTGGAAGATCTTTCTGGATATCAAGCCAGCCATATAGGAGAGAGTTAAAACTCTGTCCATCTTTATGGCCATTAAAAGAAAGAGCTATGCCAAGGATTTCAGCAAAGTGTCCGTCCCTGTTTTAGTCAGCTTTCAGTTGCTGTGACAAAATGCCTGAGATAATCAACTTAGAAGGAGAGATTTATTTTGGCTCATGATTTAGAGGCTTCATTACACAGCTAGCACTGTTGCTTTGGTTCTGTGGTGTGGCAGAATGTCAGGGTAGAGAAGAGGTTTATTTACCTCATGACAGCTAGAAGGGGGAGGGTACAGAAAGAGAGAGGGACAGAAAGAGACAGAGTGAGAGAGTTCAGTCTGCCCTCCAAGGGCATACCCTCAATGCTGTAGCTGCCTTCCAGAGGCCCCACCTCCTAATGCTTCCACTATCTCCCAGTAGTACCACAGCTGGCAACCAACACACGAGACCTTGGAGGACACTCTCGATAAAAACTACAGCAGTCTACAACATAGACAAACTCAGTAAGCAACAGTTATTTACACATTATTTAATCTTAACAACTCTAAGGTACGCATTCCACTTTTAATATTAATAATAATAAAAAAGATTTACTTGACCAAGGATATCCAGGGAATAAGAGGTAGAACCAGAATTTTAATACAAATGTCCTCAACTCTGAAGCTGGCGCCTTCCCCAGTTTACCATACTGCCTCCCTAGTGGCAGAGGCTGTTCTGTGGTGGATCTCCTGCAGACTATATAAGAGACAGTATGGAAGTAAATCCATTGCAAGGATTAGGGAGACACTTTATTGCTATATTAACTGACAGCAACCCCAAATATAGTAGGGGTACACATAGGTCTCCAAAGTGTTTTTACCAAGACAGTTAACAAATGACTGTGTGCTACCTTTGTGAGTTATTCAAACTGGAAAGGCTTTATGGTCCTTTGTGATATTTGCCCAAATTCCAATTATATATACAATGAATAACTAAATCTAAACTAAAACTTAAAAAAAAGCCCTAAAGGGGAAGGGGAAGTAGGAGGGGGCTAGGAGAAAGGAAAGAAGGGTAAGAAGGGTCGGGGATTTAGCTCAGTGGTTTCGCCCCCTGCTGCGCAAGCGCAGGGACCCAAGTTCAATCCCCGACACCAAAAACATAAATAAATAAATAAAGAAGGGTAAGAAAAAATATGAGAAAAGAAGGAAATAAGGGAGACAAAGTTTTTTGTAAATAGGGAGGGGTGGAGGGAGGGAAGGGAGGGAAGGTGAATGGGGAAAACAAAAGAAAAACCAATATATATCATGTACAGGTACAAATTCCCAATGATGAATGTATACCTAAAATGTACCAGTAAATGTAAAAAACTCTCCAAACAACTGATCTTCATTCCATTTCAAAGCTTATAAATATATTTGGGAAGTAAGTAACAAATGTTAGGGGTGACTGGGTTGAATTTTACAGGGTGCTAAAGCTTGCCCAAGTGATTTCTGAATTAGTCCACAGTTCTGAATATCTATAAGCTACCACAAAAGCCTTCCTAACTGGTCTCTCCATCTCTGGTTTCCTCTTGGTTTTGCTCTGTGGTTCATATCTTCACCTCAGCAATCTTCCTAAAACATCCTTTGTGTTGCTTCTGTCTGATTTCTCCTTGTTCACTATTATTTTCTTAATTCTTTGTCTATGGCCTTTATAATCTGGTTCCCAGTTGTTGTCTCTCTCAACTTCCTGTTCCTGGTGGCTCATTCACTCCTTTCCGTCTTATCCTTGACTCTTGGGACATTCATTTACACCTCCAAACCACCCTTACTCCATTCCCCCACTTGTTCTTCCCTGCCCCTGCTTGCTGTCTCTGTCCTGCAGCATGCTCTTTTTTCTTTTTTACAGATGCAATCTACAATCTCCTTTTATATCTACCTTTTTTTATTCATTCAGTGGACAATTATCTGTGCAGTGAAGTGTAAGCTCCCAGGAATGTTTCCTTTCTCCATATAATTTACCAAAAAGGATAATATCATTTTAATTTCACTAATCGTGAAATTTAATTTCCTAATTGTAATTTCATCTTTGGGGGAGATCTCATTCTGATTCAACTGATATATCACTTTCATCCCACACTTTGGCAATCTCCAACTTTAATATGATCAGCCCCACACCATCTTGAGTTATACACCTACTGCAGGCAATCTATCATAGTTTAGGTACTATCTCTTCCGGGCCTGTGACCCAGCATATGGTTAAAAGAAAGTAAGGAATATTTATCCAGGAGGAAAACTTAATTAGAAGTTAGTCTCATAACAGGTAGTCATAAATTATGTCGCACAATGTTCTTGTTCTTCAATAAAACAATTATTAATACTTGAGTACATGAATTATTTTGCTTCATGATGTGAAAACAACCAAGAGATAATGGCTTCCCTTTAGTTTAAAAAAAAAGGCATTTCTATTCAAATGTTTGGTTTGCGTTCATCCCATTTTTCATTTTTTTCCTTGTCATTTCTTTGCTACCCATTTCCTTCCTGTGCTTTTGCAAGTTAGCCATCAATATGGATTGGATGAGATAAAGAACTGGCTTAGCTCTCATCTTATTGGTCCAGTCAGCCTCCTTACGTTGTCTCATCCATACTTAGGGGAGGTGAGGGAAGGTGATAGAGGATGTTGCTAGGGAGACAGAATGCACTTGGAAGAGCAAAAGACATTTTAAAATTCCCAGGAAAAACCATGGTGTGAACTAGGATAGGGGACTTAAGTGGGGTGTTCTGAAATTGTTTTTATCTGCATTAGTGGAACTAAACCCAAGCCTTTCACCAATCCCTGATGGTTATTACAAAACCACACATATTCAAGAGATTAAAAAAGCAAATTTGTGGGGCTGGGGATTTAGCTCAGTGGTTCTGGCACCTGCCTCGCAAGCGCAAGGTCCTGAGTTCAATCCCTGGTACCAAAAAAAAAAAAAAAAAATTGGATGAAAATTATTTGGTAACACCTCTACAGAAGTTTAGTGAGTTAGGCAAAATGAAGAAGGCCAACATTTTGCTTATCGTGGGTTTATTTTCTAATAGCACAATCACAGTTGGTTGCAAAAACCACTGGCTAAAAGGGTCCAAAGGCTTATTTCTATTTCCAAATATATTGCTTAGTAGTATATGTAAGGATGTATCACCTCTGCTTTTGCAATGCAAGACATTTGAAAATGCCATAAAAATAGTTTTGTTCTCAGTAAGTCAATGGACTTTCATTTAATCTTATTTGATTGTGTTGTAGACAACAAGAAATAAAGTTTTAGGCTAGTTATATATGTATTTGATCCAAGATATAAGAGGAAGGGAGATTATTTCATTTTTACTGAGGCAAGTTGCTGAGAAAAACAGAAGAGGTTATACTCTGTTTGCAATCTGCTGCTCCTTACCCAGAACATAAATCTCACTGTTGACTACGGCTGTGCTGAATCGGTACTTAGAGTACTGCATGGGCGCTCGCTCTCGCCATTGATCTTGGCTGGGGTCATATTGCAACAGTTTGTTGCTTAATCGATCAGGTTCTTCATCAGGAAGATCCATCTGCAGGGAATATGACAGCCAATATAATAACACACCACTTAGAGGTCTTTGTAAGTACACGAGTGCAATTAATCTAAGCAGACAGCCAAGAGATAAATGGAGGTTAACCATAGTAACACAAACACATCAAATTCCAGGACTTGAGCTTGTGAGTATCCTGTCAATCAGGGGAATTTATATTCTGAAATGATGCCGCTAAGGTGCTGGGGTATACAAAACAATCTGTGATTTTAGCAGTGACACATTAGCTTTAAATAAAACTGAAGCAACTGAAAAGTCTTAAAAATGAAAACAAGCTCTCTTGAGCAGTATTTAAAGTGTAACTGCATTCAAACAAACTTTATAGTTGTGGATTTTAATAATGTTTGTGTAAAGTTAATTTTAATAATTTATAAGGGATTTTTCTAAGCCATATGTGCAAAAGTTGCAAAAAACATCTTAGTGTTTTAGTAATTAGAATATTTTTACACCATAATTATGGCCTATATATAAATGGTCTGAATTCAATTTTCAAGCTCTATGGACTAATGTAAAGTTGTCATTATATAACTCATTTATATATTTTTAATATCTAGAGATAGTGCAAATTTAATATGTTTAATCTTGCACAGATATAAATAACTTCTTAAATTCCAGGTGAAATAACGTTTTTCATATTCAGTGTATCTGGAACTTCATGACTTCAAGCTAAGGCTTCATTGTCTCTGCTTTTGGATCCAAGTGTTCATAAAGAAATAACTGCCAAACTTATCAAAGTTGTGTACAGTTGATTTTAGTTAACTACTTGAAATACTCCAAGAGCTCTGAGCACTCTGGTACCCTCCTAACTCCAGGTTATTCTGCAATTTAATGTATTGTTTTAGGTACTCAATCGGATTAGTAAAAGCCTTTGTTACGCAACACATGTTATTTGTTCAAAGAATGTGAATTAATAAATATTTACCATTTTAATTTTCTTTCTAATTTAAGTATTTAACCATTAATAACAAAGCAAAAACAAGCTCTTTCGTTGTCTTTGGAGCTTGTTCATGAAAAATTAACTATTATAAATGGACAGTTTTGAAAAAGTTTAGCTACAAATAACTTGTGAGGTTTCAAGCAGTAGATGTGATAAAATTTACATGACTTTTTGATCTGTTGAACAATGAAAATGTGTTAGGAAGTTTAACTTTTAAAAACAGGTATGCTAGGGCCGGGGATTTAGCTCAGTGGTTTCGCCACCTGCTGCGCAAGCGCAAGGAGCGGAGTTCAATCCCCAGTACCAAATAAAAAAACAAACAAACCAGGTATGATATACTATAAATGGCAAAATCCAAACTTACGAAACAAATACAAATGTACCAGTTTTATCATGAAGCAAATCTGGAGAAACAAGAAATAATACAGGCAAAAATACACTTATCTTATGTTATGGGGATGACAAATGAGATACAAGACTAATTTTTATTAGAAGGACTGGAGGACCATCAGAGAGCAGCTGGAGAGGCACTACTATAAGTGCCTAAGGACTCAAGAAGACCCTGAAAAGAAGACAGAGGGTCACTGCAGTCACACTACTGACTCTTCAAGTTTGGCTGTCATCACTTCCTTAGGCTTCAATATAAACAGTATTCTGCTCTCCCCATCGGCTGATGCTCAACTAAAACAAAGTTGGGGCCGGGGATTTAGCTCAGTGGTTCAGCCGCCTGCCTCAAAAGCGCAAGGTCCGGAGTTCCATCCCCAGTACAAAACCAAACAAACCTGTCTCAACTAAAACAAAGTCCTCACAATCATGACGTACTTTCCTGGACAGGATTACACTATCACAGGACTAGTATATTTTGGTTTCTCACTTAGAGTAAGAATTTTAAATCTGGAAGAGACCTAAGAGTCTCTTGTTCCAAGTCACACAGCTATTGGATCTGGGACAGATCAAGGATGAAGATCCAGCTTCTCTGCTTCTTCTTACACGGTCCCTACAGATAATCCCTCAGCACAAAACATCTTTTATAATTAGCAAGGATGGGAAGGACTATGAAGAATACAGCATGAATACCAAATGAAGTCATGCCTATAAATAACACACTTAAAATCCATTCTTCTAAATTGCTTCAACACTTTAAAACCTTAAGTTTATATCTTGTGAGACAGAAAGCAGTTTATCAAAATGTAAGGCATACTCTTGTATTTAACAACTGCAGCATTTTCCAACAGAGCCAAACAACATAGCCATGCCAATTAAGTGCACAAGAAATTTGTTAACCTGAGGGGTCCAGCCTCCGATCACATAAAGTTTATTTTTCACTGTCACTACAGCATGACAAGCCAACTGTAGTGGAAGAGGAGACACCCTTTTCCAGTTGTCTCCTTCTACAGAGTACTTATCAACACAGTTTGTAACAAGGTACTGGTTTTTAATTTTCATCTGTCCTCCTACAACATAGAGGTCATTATGGACACTGCCCAGAGCATAGAGCTCCCGAAATTCAGTTGTGCATAACTTTTCCCAAAACTGGTTTCCTCTATCATGATACCTGTAAATCAACAGAGAGAGAACCCAGGATTAGAGTTATCATGAAAACAACTCAAGAAACATACTGAAGCTGCTTTTCCAATGAAAACCAATGAGATCTAGCCTTTCTAATATTAACATAAAACAGTGATATAGATTCATTTTTTAAAGGACTGGTGAACAAAATATAATGTGCTTAAAAATGACTGATCAAATCTACTTGAAGAATTTCAGAAAAAAAATATATAGAAAAAGTACAGATTGCCCAGGAGTAGCTTTCATTTCCTAATTCTAGGAAAGAAAATCAAGAATGAGTAGAAAAGCTTTTCAGTGAATCATCTGTAATTCTGCCATTAAAGAACAAGTGAAAAGAAACAAAAATATATACATTTGCCTTATTCTGGGGACATGAAATATCATTTTAATACTAAGGAAATCATGATTTTAGGACAGAGAATCTAAAAATACCTCGATTCAGAATTTCAAACAGGATGTGAGCTATGTAGAATTTCAAGGATTGCTATGGTTCTAATGGGCTTAAAATTGGGTCAAGAGCACTGTATAAAAACACTGTAAAGAAGGAAATGAAGAGGAGAGGTGAGGGCAGTGGAAGGGAGAGTAATGGGGATGGATAGGGTCAAAACATTTCCGGCAGTATGAAAAGGCCACTATGAAATCCTGTGTTTTGTAAAATTAATATACACTATTAGCAGAAATAGAGAACACTAAATTTTTTTAAAAGCAGAAAGTGCTATAGTTGCATGTTAATGAAATAAAATACTTAAAAATTCAAATAATCCCCCACCCCTGCAGAAGGCTGCTGGGCATTTCTCATCTATTTTATTTATTTTTTTGGTACCAGGGATAGAACTCGGGTCCTTGTGCCTGTGCGGCAGTTGGCAAAACCACTGAGCTAAATCCCCAGCCCTCTCATCTGTTTCAATCAACTAGATATGGTAATTTCTTACAGAAACAGTTCCAGCAGTATGAAGGGAGTTGCAGGAGACAGGGACCCTGGGATATATGGTTTCAGTGCCTGCTGGAGTTCCAACACAGTAATGAAGTGTCTAGCGGGGAGAGCAGTCAGTACTTACTGAGTTTATTTTGTCTGGTAAGTCTATTTTTTCCAATCATGATTTGTAATATACAGTCTGAGAAGAACACTGAACACGTACAGTGGGATAAAATACATGAGATTAAATGTCCCAGAAAACCTAGACAGTATACCTGGAATTAAAAATATAAAAACTCAGGAGAGCATGGAAAACAAGAGAAAAGGTGTTCTGTTTGGAAAGAGTAACAATGACAAAGGAGTTATGTGTGATATGCTGTTTTGTACAGAGTTCAACTTTTCAGTAACATCTGACAGTCATATAATAGGAGTTTTCCCCAGCTGTTCCAGGCTAACTCTCACATTCCCCAGAAAGAACATTTACTTCAGGCTCGACAAGGAAATTGGGAGGTGTGTTCCTTTCCGAGAGGGCTTATCTGGCTTGTCACCATCAAATGCAGAAGTTTACCAAACCATATGATGCCTGTCTTCTCTATAATTCTAGGCAGAAAAACAGTCTTTAGAATCACAGGTATTATTTTCACTACTATTTTTAATTGTATGGATTTTAGAAGAGAAAGAAAGATTAGCTGTCGTTATGCGGGGGTTACTGAAATAAAGCCAACTGAATGAATATATAAATAGAAGTGAAAATAGGTTTTGGTATCCTGAGACATAGTTTAAGAAAGTAGGCTGGGAACAGAATACATCCCGTGGAGGGTGGGAAGTACACGTCTGTTTGGTGATTGCTAATCTGATTTTTATAGTAACATTTAGAACTGAAAATGGGGAGAGAAAATACCCAGATTAAATTATAAAACTTCTTCATAAGAAAAGTGGATATAATATAAAAAAGTAAAGAACAGTGACAAAGCAGCCAACATTAACAGACTGATATCTGAAAGGTGACACATACCCTCTTGGATGCTGATGGGAGGAGATAAGTAAAGGAGACAGAAAGGCGTATCTTTTTTTAAAAAGAAATGCCTACCAGAGTACTAGCCTACTTCCTCCTCTAAGAAGAACACATCTGCATGGAAATCTATGCGGTACAGAGAAAGGGCAAACTAAAGAGCATCTGGGCAAAGACAAAAGGGTTAAGAAACAGAAATAATATCGCAGGGATTTACCACAGCACAATATATTCCTCACATGTATCACAAATCTAGCTCTAAGGTGACCTTCTGCCAAAGTGTTAGATTTTAGCTACTCAGACATTGCCAGAAGTTTCATTTAAGCTAATAGCAAGATAATTTCATTACCGGAAGAAATGGTGGAAGTAACCAATAACTTTTACCCCAATTATTATAGTTTAAATCTAAAATGTCCCCCAAAAGCCTCATCTGTTCAGAGGTGGGGCTTTCGGAAAGTGATTGGATCATGAGGGCTCTATCTTCATCAAGTGGATTAATCCACTGATCGGCTCATTAGCTAATAGGCTTATCAGGAGATGGGGCCCATATTGGATGAAACAGGTCACTGTGGAAGGCTTTGAAGGGTATATTTTTTCCTCGGCCTGTTCCTTTCTGTCACTCTGTGTCCTGGGTACCCTAAGATAAGCAGCTTTCTTTTCCCAAACTCTTCCACCGCAGTGCTCTGCCTCATCTCAGCTCACAGCAGTGGAACCAGCCAACCAAGCACTGAGACTTCTAATACCGTGAGCCCAAGTAAATCTTTGCTGTCTATAAGTTCACCTTCTCAAGTATTTTGTCACAGTGACAGAAAGCTCACTAGCACACTAATTCTGACCAAAGTTGAGATGCTGCGTGGTAATGGGAACCTTTTTGTGTTCAAGACAGACTAGAAAGGAAACAATGCAGTATACAGAAAGAAGGGAAGTGGGATTTCAAACTAGGTAAGACCACAGATGTCTGAGGATCAGAACAAAGACACTTTCACAAAGCTGGATATTTATTAAAAATAAGTTCTGATGGGAGAGTTGTGGACTGTTGAGTTGGGGACAAAGAAGAGCCACCTGAGGTACGTGGGTGAAAGAAGGGTGCCTTAAGATGAAAGAAGGGGCCAGGGATTTAGCTCAGTGGTTCCGGCGCCTGCCTTGCAAGCACAAGGTCCCGAGTTCAATCCCTGGCACCAAAAAAAAAAACAAACGATGAAAGAAGGGTGGCTATCCTAGCCAAATCAAGTATTAAACAAGTGCCTGGATCCATAAGAACCATGCTGGAAAGCCAAAGCTTTCTCCTCCATTAGGATCTGACATGCTGGCTCTGTGGTCCACACCTGAGAATCCTGAGCAAGGCTGTTCCTTCAGCTCAGTGACACGTGCTGCCACCATGGCGTGGGTCCAGACCACTCACCCAGGGCTGTGCATCCCTTCCTCTCTCATATGGGGGAGGGAGACACACCCTCGCACTATGAATGTGGAGAAGGGACAGGGCTGCAGTTCAGAACAGATACTGAAATGCTAAGCTATGACAGAGAAACAGTGGGCCTCTTAATCCTTTCTTTGCTCATCTTAACTGTCACCAAGAATGAATTTCTGACTGAAAAGTCTGAAAAAAACTCTGCTAAGAAGGTGCTGAGAGTATAAAGGAAAGTTTTACTATCTAGTGTTTATTCTGTGTATATATTATATTCACCCAGTTAAATTTAAGCACTACTCATGACTACCTGCTGAATAAATGATAAATGTATGCGTTCTCACAACTAAGACCCAGATGATACACTACTAATTAGCATGCACTCTTGTTCCTCTTACTTGAACCCTAGGATTGAGGCATTCTTAGGCTACAGGCATTTTTCAACACTGGAGGTTTAGAAAAGATTCACAAATTAAAATCAGAGAATGAAAACTTTATGGGTGAGAAAATAATTACTATTCTGAATTATTAATTTTAAAAATCAGTTAAAAAAAGTCTGGGTTAATAAACTTTTCTCAGTGTTAAAAGTTATATCAAGATCATTAAAAACAAACCAATATATTATGCCTTATCACAGGGATAAATAATGAAAGGTAAGAGTGAAAAAATATAACTGAATCATAGCACACATACATTTAATTTAGGTAAATTTAACAAAGGAACAGAAAAGGAAATTTTAAAATGTGAGCAATTATGAATGTTACATTTATGCCACATTATACTTATGATTTTATATATATGCATACATAAAACTATTATGCATGCTATTCTTTATGGAAGATTTACAAGGTAATTTTGAACACATGTAATTTAAGATATGACCACTCAGTATTACTTGCCAATGTCAAAGCAAGATAAAAACAATTTTTTTTGGTACCGGGGATTGAACTCGGGTCCTTGCGCTTGCAAGGCAGGCGACGGAACCACTGAGCTAAATCCCCGGCAATAAAAACAATTTTCTGCTAGATACAAACCTATAAATTTCGACATTCTTGTTCTTTTGTCTAGAAAGTCTGGAGGCACTCGCTTCCCCAGCCACAACGATAGTGTTATTTTCCATGACGACTCCAGTACACACAGTCCCTAAACCCTCCCCATACTTGGGAGATGAGATGAAATAGGTCTTCCGTGAAGCAGGATCATAACAAAAACTTGCATCCCCATAGTTTCTGTGTCTTGACCTGATTCCTGAAGAGTTGTTGCCAATGCAGAGCAAAAGACTGGTGGTCTCCATACCATAGCGAAGATTCAGAGAGTGCTGCTGGGGTGTCTTGATGGCTTTGAATGCATTCTGAATGATGTCAATGCAGCCCGCATCACACAGCAGCATTGTATTCCTTTTGAGGGCCTGTCTTAAAAAAGAAGGATTTATAAGCTCCAATCTGACTTGCTTCAAAAGCTCAACGAGATGCTCTGTGCGTAATTCTTGGTTATGATTTACCCATCTCAGGACCAAGTCCAGAATGCTCTCCTCTCTGGATATGTTAAGATCATCTGATCTAATAAGTGTCAGAAATTGGTGCACTTCCACATCGAGTATTTCTTCATGTAAGCTCACTTCAGCAAAGTGCTGATATAAATACTTCTTTGATTGATCGGCTAAATCCTCAGCTCCAATCTGCTTTGCAAAATAATAGATTCCTACACAGTTGGAGGCATCCATGTGGTCCATCATGTATTTCTGACACACACTAAAGACCTCTTCCATTTGCATAAAATAGGCAGCCATAGCCACAGTCTGCACATTAGCATTGTTGATCTCCAGAGCTGCGTTGTACATGTAATTTAATATCACCGACACACTCTCCGCTGTGATGTCATAGAGTACGACTTCCCTCTGAGTACATTCAAGCAGTCCACAGGTGAACATAGCTTTGAAATAAGGACTAAATGCAGCCAGGACCAGTCTGTGGCAAGGGAATTTCTCCTCTTCAGCTATGAGCACTACATCAATCATTTCTGTTAATTCTCTCATTTTCTTAATTTTATTCAGTAAGTTCAAGCTATGCTGGTATTTTTCTTTTCCCTCAATCTTGCACTCCATGACACACTCTCCAAAGTTTCTGGATCTTCTTTATGTTTAGCTTGATTCCTGAGGAGATATTTGCATTTCTGGTTACTCACAAATTAACAGAGATGCCCTGAAACACTCCTGAGGGTAAGAAAACAAGCCGTTTTCATCTAAGGAAAAAAAAATCTCTTTAATTGAAATATGCAGCATTAGTGCTAAGATATACCTAAAAATAAATTTTATTCATTCTAAACAGAGCAGTTTAAAACAGATATTTTTTCATCTGAAAATGTCTTTGATGTGTAAACAGCAAATTATTAACTGCTACCAAAATATTTCCTAAACAGCAGTGGAGATTTCTCTAGGATTGAAAAGTCTTCTTTCCACAAATGAAAAGCCATTCCAGTTAACAAATAAGGCTAACATGCAGGTAGAGGGCAAAGGGGCATCAGTTAATAGTCTCTCTAGATGGAATCTTAACCAAAAGCTTACATACACCCTCTCCAAGAAGGCATCCATGTGTTATAATGACCTGACCAGGGCCAGGTAGTATAGACCCTGGAAAATGGATGACTGGGAAAAAAAAATCCACTAAAATTCTGCTTCAACTTTGATACTGGACAAATAATTCAAAGCAGATAATACAAAGATTATTTCTACTGGGCTTTGGAAAATACAGGCAAATGTCTGCTGATCTGAGAATTCATGGTATTTGAAACTTCCAACTAAATCACACTAAACCTAGAAAATGCACCAAAGCCTTCCGGTTTCTGTCCTCCCTCTTTGCTCAGCTTGCCTTTGTTCCCTATTTCATAGTGGCAGAACCGAACTGCTTCTTGCTTTAAAAAGCATTTGTCTAATTAAAAGTCTCTTCAAACTGGTGGTGCAATCTTCGCCTTCCCGGGGGCAATAGAAACAGGAGGTTTCAAGAAAGTTAATTAGCTGCTTTGATTTACAGGATATTCCTAGAGCCGAAAACCTTCACATGAGATTTCCAGTCTCTGCTTCCTTTCTTAGCTCCTACTTGGCTATAAAGATGCATACAGTGAGAATAAATGTTGAGGGCAGAAAAGTTAGTACTGGGATTTAAGAAAGGACAGGTGAGATTTCAATAATATGAACACAAAATTTGTCTGCTATGAAGGGTAGACATTTTCTAAACTTCTGAAACCCTGTAAAAAATTAAAAATCTCATGAGAAAGTCATTTTTGAGCATCGGATTAAAGCTCATTTTAGGAACAAGTATTATGCACGATAGGAATGTTTAATTGTGTAGTGACAACTCTAAGACCTATAAAGCACCGTGCTGCAGTCTGTGGAATTATAACAACTAGCCAATTTCAGAAGCTATATACTTCAACCTTTCCTACCCCACTTGCTGGATTTTCTGGCATTAATGGGTCAGTTTTTTCTGGTTACAGTACCAGGGATTGAACTCAGGGCCTTCACATTGAGTTATATCCCCAGGCTTTTCTCTCTCTCTCTCTCCTTTTTTTTTTGAGACAGGACTCAATTAAGTTGCTAAATTATTCAGGCTGGGTTTGAACTTGCAATCCTCTTGCCTCAGCCTCCCAGAGTGCGGGGATTATAGGTGTGCACCACCCCTGACAGGTAATATCTTATAAACAACTTCATAGTGGATGATGTTGGGTTTCCTAAGTGTCCACCCTGCCCTCATTGGTGCAGTTAGAGTGGGACTGACTCTCAATCTCTTACTACTGTTACTGGTTCAGAGGCAGCACCATACCTGAGATTGGCCTGCCCAGAGTGAAGCGTGGGTCTCTGGTTCAATGACTAGGGGTTCACACGTTGTACAAGAGGGAGGTCAGAGACTGCTACAGCCATGTCCCTATAAAGGAGCACGAAGACAAAGCAAATATATGGCACAGGCAGAACAGAGCTACACAGTTTGAAACAGGCCTTATATCCATATTTTTCAGTTGTGAGAGACAGTTTAAGCTGATTTTATTGGGATTGCTGATTTTTTTTTTTTTTGGTACCAGGGATCGAACTTAGGACCCTGTGCTTGCAAGGCAGGTGGTGGAACCACTGAGCCAAACCTCTGGCCCAGATTGCTGATATTTTTAATCAAGAATTCTTTTTGTGTAAGTGGTATATGCAGAAATATTTGGAAAAGCTTCCCTAAGTAACTGTAATTATATAAAATATTATTGTTGTTTTATTCTTATGTTTTCTATTATTAAACTGTCAAGTATGAGAATCATAGAAACCGCTTGTTAGTCTCCTTTCTCTTTGATAAAAAGCAACAGTTACTTAAATCACTCTTTGGAGTTTGTCTCTTTTCATGAAATGGACACAAAGTCTGTGCCCTTACCCACTCCCTCTAGTGCAAGGGTTGGCAAAACAGGGCCAGACAGGAACTATTTTAGCTTTGTAGGCCACACAGTCTCTGTCATAATCATCCACGTTTGTAAACTAATGAGTGTGACTGTGTTCCAATGCAATGTTTTATGGATAGTGAAATCTGAATTGCACATATTTTACATGATATTTTCACACGTCATAAAATATTATCCTTTTTCTGATTTTTTACAAGTCATTTAAAATTATGAAATCTATTCTTAGCTCAAGGGCTACACAAAAACAAGTGGCAGGTTGCCGACTGCTGCTCTAATGTTATAAATAAACCCATCCTCTAGTTTGTGAGTAGGACAATATTCTGTCTGTGTGACTAATCTCCACTCCTCTAAGATCCAGCTGCAGAGTTTTGAGAGGAGAATGCTCCTGTTTTAAAAAGATCACCTGGTTGTCCTCAGATTCTCAAATCTTGAATAAATATTGTACATGAGTGCAGCTTCCCTGTTTCAAAATTGGCTTCAACAAACAATAAAAAAGCAGAATTTCTTTTAAAATAAAAATAACCATTTCAAATACTCAAAAGAAACATTTATAATGAAATTTTAAAACAGGTATAATTATTTGTAAAGTATTCTTTCCTTCCACTTGCCCTTTATATAAATCTTAAAATTTAATCTAATTGCTATGGATTCATAGATCAAATGAACTTATTGATGGAAATCCTGAAAAATGCTTGTGAAGTTAAATTGGCTACCACACTTCAAAAACATTCTTAGTATTGTTCTTTTTCTTTTTTTCTTTTTTGTTTTTTTGACAGGGTCTCGCTATGTATTGAACTATGTAGCCCAGACTGGCCTCAAACTCAAAGTGATCCTCCCACCTCAGCCTCCTGAGTGCTGGGAACACAAGTGAGTGCCATCACACCTAGCTTCAGTATTGTTCTTGTATGCAGAGGGTGCACAGAAGATATTGGCATGGCAGATGGGGACTCAGAAGTGAGAAAGCCCTGGGTCTGAATCCTGGGTTAGCTGCTTACATGCTGTGATCTCTCATTTATTTAAACTTTCTAAACCTAATTTTTTTCCTTGGTACAATGGTGATAAATTACATAAATAGTTATATTAGTATCTGGCATCCAAGTGTCCAGTTTAAAGGTTAGGAATGTAGATTTCGGTTTGCATAGACTGAGGCCTGGGTTTGGACCCTTGTTGTACTATCCAGTAATATGAACATGTTTGTCAGCCTCTTTAAGTTCTAGTTTTCTCACCTTGAATTTCTTTTAAGACTTGAATATTTGGGGAAAAATGAAGAAGGCCATGTATGTACAACTGTAATTTGCTTGGTTAAACTTACTTGGTAAAGGTGATGCAGAATATACCTGTACAAACTCTTTTCAAACAATAAAAATATTGGGTTGCACATACAAACCACTTGTTGATACAGACTCAGTTTATAAATGAAGAAAGCTGACAGCGACTTTTTCTCATAATGAGGGCAGAGAGTGCATTCTCCTTTCATCAGCAAAACAAAATTGTATAAATGTTCTCAATGATATCAATGGGAAGTTATTCTCTGCTCCAATTTATAGAAGGCTGAACTGGTGCATTCATAATAATAGTACCCATAATAATGGAGAAAAATGAGTAGCAAAGATAAATATAAATCACAAGAATAAAGCCTAATTACTTTGCAAATCCACAATGCAGTTATACCCTTGTTTGTTATATTTGAGAAGTGGACTGCTATAAATTTTAGTGTGGGGGAGAAATGTCAACTTCCTTAAACAACAAACGTTTTGCTTTTATGTTTTATTATCTTCATATTATCTTTACAGTTGCTATTTTTTCTGAATGGTAGATGACACATGACCATGACTTCCTCTTTATGAAGATTTTCAATATTTTAGTGAAGTTAAACTAATTTAAATTTGTAGCAGCACTGCTTGAAATAGTGAAAATTTGGAAAATTACCTCAGTGTCCATTAACAGCACAGATAGACTATAGTATATGCACTCAAAACAATGTTGTACAACAGAAAAAAATGAACTGCATCTACATGTATCCATGTGGATAAATCTCTCTGTGTGAAAGACTACAGAATAATGCTGCACATTGTTAATATGTTTAAAATATGCAAAACAGTATTATATATTCTAATAGAGTAAATGTAAACCATATATTCTGATGAAGTAAATATAAACAACTGGTGGATCTAGTTAAGGGGGAACAGGGGTTTTCTGTACCATTCTTGGAACTTTTCTGAAAGTTTGGAAGTGTATCAAAATAAAAAGTTTAAAAAATGATATATTCTTTAAGGAGCCATAACACTGTAGTGGAATATAAGGAAATGAAGTGTAATTACAAATGCAGGACAGTGGTTTTCTTCAGGAGGAGTGGAAGGAGGGTGAGACAAACAGGGGAGGATGACCAAGAGTTTTGATTGTATAAATGTTTAATTTTTCCAGCTCTATGGTGGTACCCTATACATACTCAATTATTCTTAATGCCTTTTTCATATCTTAAATATTGCATAAGTCACAATTTTAGGAACTGTGTTATATTAGTTACATAGATTTTGAACTCCTAACCCACATTATAAATCATATCTGTGCATTATCTAATAAACATGTAATATGTAAAGGGAGGTAATAGGTACATTATGAATTTTCTTCTGAAAGAGTCAAAGTGTAGGCAGCCCAGTTACAAGTCACTGGGAAATGTGAACCATTAAAATCTCCAATCCAGTCTGAGTGAGAACTTCGGGGCTGAGTGCCTGTCCTCACTGCCTGTCTCACCCTGCCCCTACAGATTATCTTACAGACATTTAGGGTGGCCACCTCTACTGTATACCATACTGTCCTCGCCACACCTTCTGTTTCAGCCTCATCCTGCTCAAACCCAACATGTGCAGAGGCCTAAATGTGCTCCGAGGTTCCCACTAGTGTGGAAAAGACCTGATTTCCTTTCAGCAGTGATAATCCATCCCATGCACTAGTCAGTGAGTAATGGCCAGGAACACGGATGATAAAGATAGTAAGACAAGTTTCCTTTTTTCCTTTCCTTTGATGAGATCACAATGTTTTGCACTCTCCCAGTGCTTTCTACTTTTCAAAGTGCTTTAATATGTATTATAGCTCATTAGTTCCTCTTAAGAATCATGCGGGGCAATTATTTTCCAGGCTTTAAAGTTAAGAGGGTTGCCCAGGGATACATTACACGCTGACTGAATTTAAACAAACCGTTCTAAGTGCCAGGTGCTCCTCTAGGTCCTAGCTGCCCCTACCTCACGACCCACCCTCGGCCGTCTGGTGAGGACGGCAGTAGGCGGAGTTCAGAGGACACCATGGTGAAGACCAGGACACTGACACAGCGACAGAGAAGAGGGTGCGAGCTGAGTGGCAGACAGGGCCCGGGTCGGAAGCCCCAGGGCCCCAAGGTCACGCCAAAGTCGCGGGCTGCGTTCACCTCGATCCCGCCCTCTGCCTCTACTTACGCCCACTCGCTCCTCAGGGCCCGGCGATGGTGCTGCGACCTGACCTGGAAGCTCCGGGGTCGCAGGGCCAGGCGGGGCCTGACCGGCTGCACAGCCCAATATGGGCCTGAGCCGGCCAAGCAACATAAATAGAGGGCGCAGGGCTGGCAGGGGACGGCGGGTCCGCGCTCCGCCTGAGGGAGGGAGGGACGGAAGGCGCTGCTGGCCTGGCTCTAGGGTGACAGGTGCTCGCCTCGGCTGGGCAGGCGGCCTGAACCACGCGCGGCTGCCCGCTGCTCTGCGCCTGCGCAAGTCTTCCCGCTCCTGCCTGCCTGCCAGAGTGCTGAAGGTTTTAGTCCTTGGCCAAGAAAGGAGTCATACTACATTTTTAAAGAGAATTTGGAAGTTGGACTTTTCAAGGTATGGATCTTTCATTTAATCGGGTCAAGTTGCAAAACGGACAAAAGAGCCCTGTGTGTGATCCTATTGAGTGGACCCCCAGTAGGGTTGCCAGGTAAAATGCAGGACCCCAGTTAAATGTGAAGTTCCGATATGCAACCAGTATTTTTCAGTATATGTTTCAGGTATTGGTCAATTCTGGGTTTTTTGTTTGTTTGTTTGTTTTTTAGTACCAGGGATCAAACTCGGGACCTTGGGCTTGCGAGGCAGGCAGCAGAACCACTGAGCTAAATCCCCGGCACATGTATGTATTTATATTTATTTGAGAAAACTCTTCCTTTGTTACAAATATTCCTTGTACTATTAGCCCCATTTAAATCCTTCTACAATTGTTTCTCTTACCACTTCTGGTTTTACAGGGTATTGTGCAAAGCTAGTAAGTCTTTCTCAGCTTGCTCTGAAGCCCTCTTCAAGTTCCTACTTGGCTATTTTATTTCACCTTTTTCATTTGTCAAGAAGTGGGCTCTCCTGTGAAGAGTCAGGGCTTGAGATCTGGAGACCAAGTTAGATACTTGGCTCTATCACTAAGTGACATTAGATGATTCTGAAAATATTCATTTACCAAGTGATTAGTAAAGTGTAACTATTTATCAAATATACTGATTTACCGAAAAATAGAACTGGAAGCCTTGGACTTAGGTGTTGACTTTTAAGAACAGGTAGGGAGGCCCAATGAGTTTAGTCTGTCCTTCTGTGCAAGTGTATCTGCCCATGTATGTGTTAGCTTTAGGGCCTGCAGCTTCAGGTTCAGCACCTATGGGCCCCTGTAGAAAGGTGGGGTTTCCAGGAGCTGCAACACCATCTCTTCTGGTTTTTTTCCTCTCTGGTTGTTCTTGTCTGAAGGGCTCTGAGTGTTGGTGTCAGTGCCTCTTTATATTGTGTCACCCTACAGAGCTTCGTATTGCAGCCATGTGCACAAACCTGCTGCTTTCCTATTGTGCCAGCCAGCCTTCTATCATTGTAACAAATACCTGAGAGAATCCATTTATAAAGAATAAAGGTTTAATTTGATTCACAGTTTTGGAAATTTGGGTCCGTGGTTGGACCCTAGAAGAACATGGCAGGGTACACCCAGTTACCTCATGCCAGAAAGAGGAAGAGGGAAAGGAAGAGACCAAGGCCCGTAGACCCCTTTGAGGCCATGTCTCCAAAAACCTAAAGACCTCCACTAGGCCCCACCTCTTCAAATTCCTACCACCTCTCAATATTGTCAAGTTGGAGAGCAAGCCTTGAACACATGGGTCCTTCTGAACATTCCATATTCGAACTGTGGCACCCACCAAGCCTGCAGTCTTCCAGATGGTCAGAGAATGGTCACTAATTTCAGATGAATGTGAAGCAAAACAGGTACAGGAAAAGGAAGGTGAACCAGGAGCTGGGTCATCCCGCATTCTGGCCTGGCTCTGCTCCTTCTCTGCAGCCTCACGCTATCTTGTAGGTCACCGAACTTCTGGAGTGCAATAGGCAAATGAGAATGGGTCTGTCTCACATCGAGGTTATTTAGGCAGAGCGAGTGAGGAGAGCTAATGGGTGAGAAAGTGCTTTCTTAACTGGAAAGTTATGCCAAGTCATTTCCCGTGGACAAGGGATATGTTTTAAATGGAATCTCTTTTCCCCCAAATCTTAAAAGTGGGACAGAAAGCCATCTCCTAGTGATAATCTTTATTTTATTCCGTTGTGCACCAGGCATGGACCATATTTCTTGAACTATGTTTCTTCCACTTGAAGACTCCTTAACAGGGAAGCTGGAGAGCGAAGCCTTTGTCTGTTTATCAAGCCAGACTTCCCCACTTCCATGATGGTGAGTCAGGTTCAGACAGGCCTTCTATTGGAGGGGATTCCAGGCTAGCCACAACTTAATCTGGAAGGTACAGGGTTTGTAAAAAGACACGAAACTTTCTCAAAGCCAGACTTCTCTCCATATTCCACCACTATTTCATTTCCCCAACAATGAAATCCCTAAATCCTGAGTATACAAATATTCAAAGTCTGGGCTGGGGATTTAGCTCAGTGGTGCCGCTGGCCTGCCTTGAAAAGTTCCGAGTTGATCCCCGATACCAAAAAACAAGCAAACAAACAAAAAAAACAACAAATATTCAAAGTCCTGTTTTAGGCAGGGCTCAAGTAGTTTCTAAACACACCAATATGATTAATTGTTTGTTGCCTTTTTAAGTAATAACGCGGCCTTAAGTAATACTGTAAGATATGTGGGCTTGGCTGCTTGAGTACAGGACTAGAATGAGTCCAGTGTATGTGTGGGTGTGGGAGGGGAGGGTGCATACCTGTAATCCCAGCCACTTGGGAGGCTGAGGCAGGAAGTTCACAAGTTTAAAGTCAGCCTGGGCAATTTAGTGAGATGTGGTCTCAAAAGGGAGGGGTGCTAGGGTGTAGCTCACTGGTAGAGCAGGAACCCCCACACACACACACACATAAAAAAGAAAGGAAAGGAAAGGAAAGAAAAAATAATTAGGAGAGTTTCCTAACCAGAAGGAAGTGAATTTTGTTTTGTGTAAATGCCTGAGTGAGAGCTGAAAGGCTGATAAGATGGCTGCCACTCACCCAAACTCCTTTTTGTTCCATCTTCCCTCAAGTATTTCCCTCTCTTCCACCTACCCCAAGAAGACCCCTACCATCTCCAGCAAGGAGGAGGAGGAGGAAGGGGAAGACAAGCCCTTTCCTTTAAGGGGGAACCCATAAATTACAGACAAGACTTCTGCTTGTGTACAGATGGCCCCCACCAAGTTGCATGGCCAAGCCTAGCTGCAAGGGGGTAGGACCTGGGAAGTCTAGTTTATCCCAGGTAACCGATGTTTTTACTCACAAGAATAAAATTATGATGTATCTGAAGCTAGCATTCTTGGCCACACCTGGTTTCTAGAGAGTCATGAGCTCGCATTTCTTTCACCCTTCATAGACCCTTGTATGTCTCCTTACCAGCCCTTTTCAGGTTTAGTTTTGCCTTTGTTCACATAATCATATGACTCATGGCCCTTCCACCAAAGGCTGCAAAGGCAAGGACTGTGGCTGTCGCTGCTCTACCCATTGTCTCCAGAGCCTAACACAGTGCCTGGTGCAGAGTAGATGCTTCATAAGTAGTTGTTGGGAAACGAATAAATATAATTAGGGAATGTCTCATTATCTCCTAAATCTAGCTAGAATGTCACCTCTTCTGTGCATCTTTCCCAGGAGACCTCTCCAGCCAAATTGCTGATGCTGTCTTGTGTGTTCCCAGAGCACCTCTGCTCTGCGACGCTGCTGGTAGATGGCGCTTGGCCCGCAGCATTATGGTGGTCTAGGGTCTCATAGCCTTCAGGCTGGAGAGTGATTCCACTTATCGCTGCCTCCCCGGGGACCAGCACAGGGCTGGTACATAGCAGGCTGCTAAGGGTTGAATGTTCCCTCCAAAATTCAGATTGAAATACAGTTGCTGCTGTGATGGGATTGGGAGGCGGAGCCTTTAAGAGGTAACGAAGTCCTGAGGCTGTCACCATGTTGAATGGATTAAGGCTGTTTGGGAGGGAGTGAATCAGTTACTGTGAGAACTCACCCCACGTGTCTCACATGCTCTTGCCTGCCCTTTCACCAAGTGATAGCAGTGCGAGGAGGCTCTCACCAGGTGTGGCCCTTGACCTTTGACTTTCTAGCCTTCAGAACTATGAGAAATAAGTTTCTTTTCTTTATAAGTTACCCAGTCTGTGATATTCTGTATATCAGCAGAAAATTGATCAAGACGACGGGCCCATTAATTGAACTGATTTGTGTTTGGAAATGAACGGCTTCTAGGTAGGATGTGGGAGTTTTTGCTTTCCCATTATGTGCTCTTGGCACTGCTCATGGTATCTTCTCTCCCAAAACATCCTTCTTGCCTCAGGCTCCAGCCCTTCCTTCCACCTGATAGTACTCAGGGACTGGAGGTGTCTCATACCGCATTGCAGAAGAAAGGTGTGGTCTACCCACAAACCCATGTACTGCAGTTTCTCTTTAAAGTCCTACCTGAACTCTGCATTTTGTCCTTTCAGAGTAACTTGGCATTGGCATCAGAAGGGTAATGCCTCCTTCTCCATCTGTCCCTTCCTCTGGTCATTTCACAGATGGTTATCAAGGACCTGTACCAGATGTAGCTAGATGTTAGTGAATACAATTGTGACTAAACAGACATGGTTCATTAGAGAATATAATCTGGTGAGGTGACAGATAATCAATCTCTAGCATCTTAATCCTCTTTTCTGCCTTCAAGCATAGAAGCATTTCTCAATCCTTAAAAAACAAATTTCTAAATCTTCCAGTTACCTTGGCTGCCCTTCCTAGTGGCTTTTTCTCATCTTTCCTCTTCATGACCAGTGGTTACAAATATGTGACCTGTGCTATAGTGGCCATTTCCCCACTCACCACGCTGCTAAAGTTGCTCTCTAGGTGGTGTCAAAGGACCCTTAGAACCAGTGTTCCTGCCCCAAGCTCATCAACCATGGTTATTTCCTTCCTGAAACTGTGGCAGCCTTTATCTGATGATTTCATGTTATAGCTTTAGTTTGGATGATTTAAGAGGTTTATTCTGTCTTCAAGTTCCCCCTGAAAAAAAGAAACTCGAAACACAATATTAAAAAAAATTTCTTACTTCAAAATAAATAATACAACTGGTAAAAAAGCATCCTGTTCAAAAGCACATGCAATTGAAAGCCTACCCCAAGTCTCCAGGCTCCAGGTTTCTCATCTCCCAAAGGATTATCAGTTTCTTGAGTCTCCTTCTAGAATATTCTATGAATGTAGAAGGGACCAAGATCCTTTTTTTTTTTTTTTCCCCCAAGATCCTTTTTTATGGTGCTGAGAATGGAACCAGGGAAATCAACAAAAATTTGTTTTGAGAGTCTAAGGTGAAGTATTATGGGAGAAGCTAAGATGAGCAAAGAGATATTTTGAAGGGAGAAATAAGATATCAGATTAGATCTAGGTGAGAGAAGAAGGTAAAGAGTCAAAGACAACCAACTACAGGGTTAGCAATCTTTAACCAGGTGACTGAGGCTAAAAGTGTCAGTGATAGAAATGACATCATCAGAATGAGGGGTGGGCATTGTAAGTTGAAAGTGATTGCAGATGACCAGGTAGGAGAAGTCAAAAGACTGAAGTCTGAACTCTACTCTTAGCTGTATGACTTTGAGCAGAAGAATTTTGAGCTTTACTTCCTTCAACAGAGTTTTGTTGAACACTTACTTTGTATCCCAGGCACTAATGATTTCGTGAAAATAGAAAGCACCAGCCCCATGAAACTTACATTCTAGTAGGAGAGACACAACATAAATAAAATTAGATATATTCTCCAGCAGTGATGAGGCTGTGAAGAAAAATAAAACAGGCTAAGGAATTAGAAAGAGGTGAAGTGTGATGATCTCGTATACAAAGCAGTTAGAGAAGTCCTCTCTGGGGAGATGACCTCGTGGATGTAGGGAGGACTTAGGGAAATTCCAGTGGACTAGCTGTGTGGCCACTTCTGCCCTGTGGTCTATGATTCTAAGTGAAGAAATCCCATGGAACTTGGAAATAAGGGCCTGGGGCACAGGTGTCAGGTCAGGGAGATTTGTAGATAAGCGCTACCATCAGCTGGGGGCCCTGAGTGACTGCATGGATGACAGAGGCATGAAATGAGAGATGATCTATGTTAGAAAAGCAAGGAAGACAAAGACAGCGAAAGGAGGCCTTCTGAAAGTTGGGGGAAGAAAGTTGGAGTGGAGAAGACAATGAAGGAGATAAGAATTTTCAGGGCCTAGAACAGCAGACTTTTTCAGAACACAGTTGCAATTGCCCAGCCATCAGGAAGTGGTGGTGAAGAGGGTCAGGTTATGTGAAGAGATTAAGTACCAGGACAAGGCCTCAGGATTTGGCTACAAAGTCTCTGACCGTGTTTGGGCATCATCTCAGAGGTGGTGTGCCAGGGCAGAGGGTAAATTGCTGGGAATGAAAAAGGAAAGAACACAGAGTTAGGTTGAGTAATATTGGCTCGCATGGCACAGGTTCAACACCTTGCTGATGAGACAGCCTCAGGCAGGTAGGTATTCAGCTCACCAAGACAGGTGCCTCCATTTAGCCATTCGGGGACCTTGGCTGATGGTGGCTCTACCATGTCTTCAGAGTCCCCTGGGCATTGATCTCCAGGTCCAGGAAGAAGGAAAAGACTGCATGAGAGGCTTGTGGGGCCACATAGCTGATGCAGAACTCATATCTGCTCATCTACTGGGAAGGACTAGATTGGATGGTTCCCTCTACTACAAAGGTGGTTGGAAAGGAGCTTAGCTCTTTATCTGAGAAGAGAGAAAGGATTTGGAAGGGCAGGTGGCCGTCTCTGTCACAGACCCACAGGGAGTGGAAACGCTGGGTGCAGACATTATGCCCCTCAAAATGTGCTGGAAGATGGAGTTCTGAGAGCAATTTGGGAAATGCTGAGCTCTGTGTCCCTTTGTGGAGAGTTAGAACACAGTATTAAAGGTTCTAATGAGTCCTGCAGTCAAGAGACAAAGCGATTCTTATGTGTTCTGACTTTGAGACCTCTGGATTTCCAAGGTGAAGATGGGTGTGGGTGAGGTCCAGACGAAGAGCCTGGGAGAGACCTGAGAACCTCATGCTCCCAGGCAGGAGCTATTAAGACAAAAGCTTTAAGTCTGTGTCATGGTGAAAACCAAGACATCTCTGGAAAGGGGTGATGCCAACATCGGAGGAGAAGGGAAATTGTGCAGCCCAGGTTGGAGCCAGGGGAAGGAGCAGCCACCAAAGAGGAAGCAGATATTCTGGCCATTTTGGGGGAGGCAGAGAAATGGACTCCTGCTGTAAGGAAGCTGAGACAGAGCAAGCAGGGAGTCTCCCTCCT